GCGGTTCTGGTGGCCCACGATGATGAAAGATGCACAGCTGTACGTGGAAACTTGTCAAGTTTGCCAAAGAGACAAGCCCCGTACTCAGACTCCTCTTGGGCTGCTCAAGCCCCTTCCGATTCCGGAAAGGCCGGGTGAAAGTTTGTCCATGGACTTCATGGATACGCTGGTCACCAGCAAGAGTGGGATGAGACAAATCTTTGTCATCGTGGATAGGTTTAGTAAGTTTGCTAGATTAATAGCTATGCCGGAAAGAGCGAAGACCGAGTATGTGATCAGGCTATTTAAAGAGAACTGGGTTAGAGACTTTGGACTGCCGAAGTCTATAGTCAGTGACAGGGACGTCAGGTTCATGAGTGAATTGTGGAAGGCCGCTGCAACTGAACAAGGAACTCAACTGCAGATGACCTCTGGAAATCATCCAGAAGCTAATGGCCAGGCTGAACAAATGAACCGGGCTGTGCAACACCTGTTGAGGCACTACATCAAGCCCAACCAGGTAAACTGGAACGAAAAACTTGCCCTAGTCGCCAGTCTATATAACAACGCTGTACACAGTGCTACCGGGGTGAGTCCTAACAGTCTACAACTGATGTTCAAGCCTAGACTGCCCTTAGACTTCCTACTTCCCGACAACCAGCCAACTGCTACACTGGGCACTTTGGAGTTTGCCTATAGATATGAACAGAAGATGCAGGAGGCTGTAGAAAACATGCAGAAGGCGCAGGCAGCAATGATAGAGTCTGAGAATAGACACCGCTGCCCTTCTACATTTCAGGTTGGGGACAGAGTCTGGGTTAAGTCTTCAGAACTGGGACAGGAGTTCGGGATATCCCGCAAACTCATGCCTCAGTACTTCGGACCTTGGGAAGTTCTAGATGTAGTAGGGACAGATCCTGATGGTCCATCATATGTCATCCGTATCCCTGGTCATCTCAGAACTCACCCTATCTTTCACGCCTCTAAGCTCGCTGCGTTCGAGGAAACTGATCAGTTTCCCTCCCGTCGGTCAATGCTGCCCCCAACCATGGACGGAGAAGTCGACATCGATGATATCATTGACCACAGGGAGATGCCCGTTCAGAAGCCTCCAGGAAGGGGACATCCTCCAAAGCCAAAACTGCAGTTTCGTGTCCACTTCAGACATCACACGGATCCGAAAGAGGACCGCTGGTTTACTCGGGAGCAATTGATGCAGACCGCTCCTCAAATCCTTGCCCGCTATGAGAAGGATGTATTGAAAGGAAAGTGCCAGATGGCTCAGGATTGATCTTCCCAGAGGACTGACGAAGATATGGAGGAGGGAATGCGAGGCTACGCCCGCTTAGCCCCTACGGGGCCCTATTTGCAGCAAGGTCGGCCGCCCTAAGTGAAGGCAGGCACGACAGGCCCTTCAGGCCTCGTTTTTCAGGGTACCCCRMATTGGGGARAAWTCAGGCAGTTGCGCAGCGCCAGTTGGTTGAATGAACCCAGGCCCTGGGCCGCCTGTGTGAATGTACGAAGAACAGGCCCTGGGCTGGATTCAAGTACCGGGCCGAACACAAAGCAGTTGGGCGCATGCAACCACTTCAGGCCCAAGGCCTGCTTTCCTCGTGACTGGGCCTCAGGCTACCGGGGCCTACTGGAAGCTTCCTGGACTGGACGCAGGCAGGCCACTTCGATATAGGGAAGGGCCTGCCTCTCATTCGGCATTCGGGTGCTGGCTGCATGCTGCGCGAGCGCTGGTGCGCTATCTGCTGGCTGGCTGGCACTCACGCTCTCACGGGCGAGTAGGGAGGGAGCACGCAGCCATAGCCAAGCTGCGCTGCTGTATGCTGGGTGGAGCGCAGGGTGGTCCTTGGGTGCTAGTGTCATCTGTGCGGTGTGGATCGGGGTTGTGAGTATAGCGCAAGACATACCTGGTGCTGAAGCGGGCGACATTGGTCGCCACATGCTCGTACTTCGGGAACGCTGTTGATGTCATCATTCTGCTTCGTAGTATAGGCTAGATAGGATCTGCCACATGTAGTCTGGGCGCCGAGCGCCAATAGGATATCAACTCTGGTTCTTCGTTGATGATGATGGGACTACTTCAGCATTGTCAATTTTGAACTCTTGGGGTGTTCTTATTTGGTGTATCTCGTGATGCAATTCTGCTGTGGTTCGAGGTCAAGGCTATCTGGACTCATATGTATGATGCTGTATGATTGCTGAAGTTCGCTAATGCTCATCTTCCTTGCAGATTCATCAAAAGCTGAAACAAACAGACACTGTTTTGAAGGGTGTGGGTGATTAGAGATGTCGGGAAGGAAAGATAAGGCGTCCAGAGAAGACAGCATGGAGACGGGGAGAAAAGAGAGGGAAAAATAGAGGCAGACGGACAGGACAGAAAGATGGAGAGGGGGGGATCAAGCGCGAGTGCAATGGACGATCGTAATAGTGACCTTTGTCGCTGATAAGCAGTGCCCCCTAAGTTGTTGACATAGCTGTGGGTCATTGCAGGTGTACCACCACTCCCTGTGTGTGCAACGTGTAAAGCAGAGGGGGGCACAAACCAATTCGATTCAAGGAACTGTAAGGCACTAAGAACAGCGAACGCATGTTTCACATTACCATTTAAAAATTAAAACACATATTCGACATTTTCTTTAATTTCGAAAGGGCGAAAAAGAAAAACTCGCAAAASTYGTAAACATCAATCAAACAWCAAACCCATCCCTCTCAYTGAGAATTTCACYGCTCATCCTAGAGCATGCAAGAAAACACATTTCAACACCCCGATGTTCCTTTTGCGTTCTCTAACAATCAAAACAGGCTACCGTCTTCACCCGAATAAAACGCCCGGTCATTATAATAGCTGTGTTTGGCACAACTTTCAGCCCAGATACGGCAATAATGACCGGCCGTTCTATTCGGGTGAAGACGGTAGCTTACWGTCAAAGTTGTGTCAATTCCTCTCACTGCAACAAAGGAATTCAAGCAGAAGCATGAATGAAAGTCTGGAAGTGACCACATCCATAACCGGTAAACCCCACCCAAAAAAAAAAATACAAGAATATGACATGATGAGCACACATTTCAGACACAAAAATTATGGCCGGTGTACCGTGCCTCGTTGTACTGAAAGATACGTTCTCAATTCAAGACGTTGGGGAGTGCTGCAGTGGGGCCCCAGTGCTCATGTGCTAACAACCTTTTTGCTCTACACTTGACAGAAGCAGCTTTGACTACCATCGCATCCTACGGAGAAAACATGGACCGTTCATCAGAGAGCCATTTGCTTGGGGAGGAGCAGACTCCAGAGGCCAGAAGAAACATCATTTAGATTTGCCTGGGGCCGGTCAGTTCACTGACGATATCTCAAGGTCATCGCTCCTTTTTACAGGATTAAAAAAGGGGGGGGGAAAGGATTGCAAAAGGCCATGAGGAACAGCGACTCCTCTAAAAGGTTCACGGTGCAAAGTGCACAACACTGAAGTAGCTTAGAAGTACACATTTGAGACCGTTTAATCCGAACACTTAAGATAATCAACTTGTTGTGTATTCGGAAAGCTATGGACACACGAAACAATCACAGACATTAAACCATCCACAGAGACACAATCACTTACACACAATATGTACATTTTTGAACCGCAATCACATTCACCTCGCCAAACAGGTCAAATCGGCCTCCATAAAGACCGGTACATTCTCGAGAGATCCTCAGACATGATGGTTTACGAACTGCCATCGCATCCAAACTCTCCCCCAGAATGCAGCTGCATACAAGGGGCTGCAGCTAGGCTTGCCGCAGAGCCAAGCGGACATGTAGCTTCTGCCTACAGGTGACTGCAGATAGACTCAGTGCAGAGCGAAGCGGAGGTGCAGCTGCATGTAGGTGACGGCAGGTAGACTCAGTGCAGATCGAAGCGGAGGTGCAGCTGCATGTAGGTGATCGCAGGTAGACTCAGTGCAGAGCGAAGCGGAGATGCAGCTGCATGTAGGTGATCGCAGGTGCAGCCGCATGTAGGTGACTGCAGGTAGACTCAGTGCAGAGCGAAGTGGAGGTGCAGCGGCATGTAGGTGACTGCAGGTAGACTCAGTGCAGAGCGAAGCGGAGGTGCAGCTGCATGTAGGTAACTGCAGACAGGCTCAGCACAAACCCAAGCGGGGGTTCAGAACGAATTCGCTTTCAACATGATGTCATTGACAGTGAGCAAGAGCAGCAATGTGCTCCAGAGAATCCACAGCACCCAAGAACTCGTAAACAGGCTTCTGTTTCAGCCTGCCCCCCGTCCCCAGCCCCAGCCTGCATCAAATAATCTGCTCCCACGAAAATTAGCAAGGTTCAACACATCAGGCTCAAATGCGACGACAGCTTCAAATCAATCAACATCATCATGGGGTTACCATCCTCAAGGTCCAGATTTAGTCTCCTGGTCCCAAGGACAGACTACCGCCTTCACCTGAAATAGATCGCCTGCCCGTTATCACTCTATCAGCAGCTATTATAATGCCCGGCATTCTATTTCGGTGAAGACCGTAGCTGAAACATTGAACCGCTCGTTCAGAATTCAGTGTTCATCACTGGCATAGTTGATTTGCTGCCAGCCTGCCCCAACAACCTCTTTCCTCTCATACTGGCGAAAAGACAGGCTCCATTTAGTTTTCTTCCGATGAGGGCAGTTTCCCAGTTCCAAAAACGTATCAACACAAGTCACATCCCAGATCCCCAATGCACTCGCCACCGAACAGCGGTGTGCACAGAAGATCCTCTTCATACCTTAGGCCTAGCCATGGAATCGAGCCCACACGCCCATGCTACCATAGCAGCTTGCATACGCCACCACAGTCTTGAAACTTTTAGATTCTCATGGGACTTCATTCCTATCCAATTTAGTCAGCAGATAGGCTCATATCCGTTATCTAACTAAGAATAGCAGAGCATAGCAGAATAATCTGCACAGCACAGTCCCTATTGTCTGTTTTCCAGCTAACCTAGAATAACATAGCATAGTAGAATCTCCACAGCACATTCCCTGTTGATAATCGAAGGAAAAAAAAGGCGGAAAAAAAAGGCGGAGGGAAAGGTTGCAAGCCTTGGGGTGAGGGACTGCTAGACCCAGGCGATACATAAGCGGCCAGTCTTTAGATGTACCGGCCTGACATGGGCTGGTTAGATCGTTCTGGCACCAAAAAACTGTTATAGGCCCTATTTACATGTGGACCGCGCCTTCTCGTGGGTAGCAGGCGAGGTAATTCTAGCTGTTTAACATATAGAAGATAGACGGAAGTCCCAATCTTTCGTATGACCTGCAAGAGGCCCCTCTCCACTGGGAAGGGGCAATCCCATGGCACCATGTTGTTTCAATACCGGTCTAAGGAACAGGTCAGGGGCCACCACTGCTATGTTTATGCTATTTTACAATGCAACTCGAACATTTTTGCCGCCGGAGTTGGTCAGGCCCCACTGCGCTAAGCTTGTGTGTGCTGGATTAGCGTGAACAAGGTCTTTCTCTGCAAGCCAGTGAAATGACCCCTCAGGCGCATGCCAGTTTATCAATATCGTAGTATGGGTTAATATGTTAGGCCTGAGGTCGGGCAAGGCGTGAAGCAGAACAGCCATAATTCACATTCGTACAGAGAAAGGGGGGGGTGAGGTGCAAGAGGAGGTGAAAGAGAACGCCCACCCTTGACAAAATTCCGCACCCGCTATCAGAAGATTAGTTACTTCGAGGTCATGGCCACAAGGACCAGGCCCCACTGCTGATATGTTTGCGCTTAAGAGTGATCCTGATCACAATAACGAAAAGGTTCAAGCACTACCGCCTTCATCCAAAAAAAATCTCCGGGCGTTGAATAGGAATATAACAACCCGGCAGGCGATATATTCGTTTATAACGCCCGGGCATTGTATTCAGTAAATCGGAAGCAACTTGGGTGAGCCCCAAAAACAAACAAAAAAATAAATCAAAAACATATGCAAGGAACATGAGTATGGACGAAGCACAGAAATCCAGAATGCAAAATCACACTGAAGTCCAAGTATTCAAAGCCAAAGCAGATAGCACATGGAACCGAGTAACCATCCCATTGAGAATGATACAGAAGAATCGTGAGTCAATGTCCATGCCCACCAGGGCAACACCAACAGCATAACCCAAATGTAGCTCTCTCTTGTGAATGGCGCCAGGCGCCCTATCTACTCTACAGCCTATCCTACAACTACAGCAATGAACAGCAACCAGACAACTTGACTACCAGCGAGTGATAATGTCAACACCAATGCAGACCTCCACCATCACCAGGTACGTGTCCTCTTCCCCACACTCTCCCTTGTTACCCACACAGCGCCCTTCACCTCCAAAGTACCACCTTCGCCCTCACCTCCCCTGCACCCTCATGCGGCCCGGCTATGGCCGCCAGTGCCCTGTGCGCAGGCAGCGCCCTACCGCCTAGTGCTGGCCTGCCCTGTCTTAGCGCAGCGCTGCTCTGCATAGCGCAACACACCTGCATCTGCG